CCACATTATCACACATCCTCAATATACAAACAGCAAATAAGAGCAATTAAATGGGGAGGAATGAATTACAAGATTTCTTTAGAGTACACAAAGAAACACAACTCAAAGCACATATCCACTAAGTCAACCTCCTCTGCCACCTTTCCACTGTAACACCTGTGTACATCAGGTGGCCAACTTGTTTTACAGCATTTAGGCTTCAACCACCACTTAACTCACCTTTGAACAAAAAACGTAGAAGGGCCAGAGAGACAGACAAGTGTCTGTTGCCCCTGTGCTACAACACACTTCCTCATCCTACCACCCTTCCCCATCCTCCCTGAAGCTCCCGTTTCTGAACAAATGCCCTTGACAAGAATAACTTTGCCAAACAAACTGGAACCAAAACATTCCCCTTTCTGCTGCACTGGTTCAACCAAAACCACCTCGCTCTTCCTCGCAGTGTAAGCATACATGAGAGGCAGAAACAACCTCCCTCTCGCAGGGAGTGGGAGAAGCCTCTCCATGCAAAGCACTATCACTGAAAAGCGCCTTGACATTTGGCAGCAGAAGCTCTGGGCTGCTGGCGCCATGGCAGTGACTGTCTGCTCTGATGTCAAGTGTGCATTACATCTTGTGCACACTTATCTGCACCACACCACTTTCAAAGGTTTCCAGGACTGCGATGGCATATTTTTTTAAACAGGTGTGGCTTGCTACAGCTGTAAAATGGACTCCTCACTTGAAAGCAACCAAAAATTACACAACATTCAAGATGGGTCAAACAAGCACCTCAGCCTCAAACACAGAGCAGAAATTGTGACAGGCACTGTATTAAAGAAGCAACTTTATCGCTTGATGATTATATGTGACAATACAGGAGTCCTTCCTTCCACCAGTAACTGCCATTTGCTTATTTTAAAAGAAGATAATAAAAGTGACATAATAAACCAAAATGCTTAAAAATTAAACCAAAGCTTTTTTTTTTCACTCAGATGTATAGAATAGCAAAGGAAAAAAAATTAAATAATTTCCTTAGTAATACAAGTAATATTTAAATAGATTTACTAGTGCTGCTCCAAACCAATGAATTATGAGTTTAAAACCTATTAAAATGTAATGTTTTTTTCCTGAGCTGAGGGGAGAGAGATTTAAATCCACTGAATTTTAATATTTCAGCTTGAGCTGCAGGAGGTAGAGAAAGTCCAAATGAACTATTCCATCAGCACCATTCAAGCGTGAACATTTTAATCAGTTTTACTTCCTTGGAGTTCTCCAACACAGTTTACGCTGTCATTCTGAAAGCACTTAACACAGAGGGTGTGAAAAACCACCAATGCTTGTTATTGCCTTCACAATTGATGGCAAATAATTTTGCAGACTTCCTATCATTAAAATGTCACTGCTAAAAATTGAGGTTCAGCATTTCTTGTGCTAAACTGCATTTTCTTTCAACACCATCACATACCTGTTCTGAAGTTTTTGGTACATTTATCTCTCCCCGTGTGATAAACAGGTATACAAGCAGTAGCCTCCATTTCTGCCTTACGACCCAACTGCAGAAAAACTGACTGATAAAATTCTCATAAAGTCAGTAGTTAATTCCTTGGTTCCCTTATTAAAACATAACCACATTCACACAGCATGTTCTGATTATACAGTATAATGGATTAAAAAGGAAAAACAAAACAAAACCAAACCAAACCAAAAACAAACCCCAAAACCATTTTAAGAGAGTTACACAACTCAATTTAATAATACAGGAAATGAAAACATCATTCCTAATTTGATTGTATTACTGATTTAAGGCTACAATTTGTGTGTTTTTCCAACAGTGTGATCTTGCAGATTCTAATTCAAAAACACGGCAGCTACGACACATGACAAGATCAACCAGCCATATCACACTGCTCATCCCAATACAACCAACCTGGAAAGGAGCTCTGGATGTGCACTACGAATTGCTTCAAGCAAGCAGGCTGTACCCTACCATCCATGGCAAACACTAGATGCAGAGCCTGGATGCCTGCAGATTCACAGTTCCTCCTGCACCATGCTTACAATACCTAGTTTTGGTTCAGTTTTTCTCCTGGCAGCTCTCCAGAAGAAGATAGATGATATTTAACTTGTTTCAGCCTGTCAACAGTTTTAAACTGAACATGACCTGCGAAAGAAGTCATTATAACTGTGTTTCATTCCATTAAACACAACTAGTTTATTGTCAGGAGAACAAGCAGCCTTTCCGGGTTCCAGGCTCACTTCAGTATTTTGCATTTAAACTGCACGGATCAGTGATTTGGTTCATTTACCAATGAAGATAGAATAATATCGCAAAGTTAAAAGGTACTTCATCAGATTCCAATACATCAGAGCACATTCATATAAACATACACGCATGTGAAACACAGAGAGGAGACATGATTTGTGCACATTCAATTCTTTTCTTGTGCCATCTGCCATTTTGGTAAAATCCATTTTAAACTCAAATGCAGGGTTCCCCTGTTTGAAGCAAAGCAGTTCAGCATGAGTGAGACGAACTGAACAGTCCCCCCCAGAGCACAGAGAAACTTAAGCTTCAGATGTATTTCAAAACTCAAATACTGCTTTTGTCTTCATCTGATATACAGCTCAATGGGTAACCAAAAGATGTATTTTTTTAAAACTGCAAAGTAAAAATTAACTTTAGATGCTTTTAAATTATCACAGGCTTAAAAGAATATAAACTCTATCAGAGTTACCAAACAGCAAAATAATATAAGACAACATAATTAGAGATACAGAAAAGCCATGATTTCTAATTACATTCTTTGTTTTATTTTTATTGTTATTCACTTCACAAAGTATGACAAGCCTTTTTCAGTCCTGTGCTATATTTGCAGACTCTCTTTAAGTGCATTACTGTGGGTACTCATGCAACTAGAACTCTGGCTTTTTTGACAAGTTGCTATCCTATTTATTATATTTTTTAAAAATTAGTATCTTAAAGATTGGATTAGATTACTTCTCTTTAAATGTGATGAACAAATAATTTTCTGTCCATATTGCTTTTGTTTCCTTAAATCTAAAGAGAGGGCCACACAGCATTTCCTAAGTCAACATAAAACAGGAGAGTGAAAAAGGCAGTTGACCAAGGTAAAAATCAGTCTTGTGAGGGAGGTGAGAGCTACATTATTTTAATGCACAAAACCAAAATTCAGATATTATGAAAATTCGAGGCAATAGAATTTCAATTTACTCAAAGGGATAAATTCAGACAGAAAAAAACAAAACAAAACATTTAGATCTGTCTGGTGGGGGAAGACCAACAGAAACTATTGCCAGTCTACCAGACAGTGTCTAGTCTGTTTATATTTATTCAATGCGGTTTGGTGGTTCATGAAAGCAGGATAAACTTAAATAACAAGTACAATAGCTAGTATCTATAACATCATATTTTACATCAATCAACTTAATTCCTTACTAGAAAGCAAATTGCTTTTTGCAGTCTCTGTAATACATAGAAAGGTGAATGGCAAAAATGCACACAAGTAGACTGACGTATTCATACACGTGCATGTGCATGTACACACACACAAAACAGGACATGCAATTGTACACACACACTACATGCGCACATGCAGCACACATAAAAAAACCTCTCCTTAACATAGAAGCTGACCTTACGCTACTTACTTTATGCAAAGAATGTTAATAGAAAGCAATATTTTTAGTTAGGTAATGAAAACTAATTGGGAAATTATTCATCTCCCACTCTCCCCACTGGAGCGTAAAAGACATACAACAAATGTTATTCATGATTCCACACGACTCGTTCCGATTCACCCCCTTCTTTCTAAGGGGCACTTCAGAGGAAATAAAGGTTACTCTTTTCCATTTATATCTTCTAATTGACTACCACTGTTTCCGTCTGGTCAGAGGGATACAAAATAGAGTTAGAAACAGCCTACTAACAACAAGCTACAATCAGACCGCTGCTCTACACTACTGTCAGCAATGATCAGAGAGTCCTGATTTCCTTGTTAAAAGACAGGGGCATAATTGAAGCAATATCTTCACTTCAGATTGATTATTTGGCGACCCTTATCCACATCTTCACTCAGCAATTTGAATTTTAATGAAAGTAAATGGAATAATTAGCATTTCAAAGTGTGTTTGATACACTGAATAAAAAAAAAGGAAAATACTTTTATGTATAAACTATACACAAAAGAAAAAGCATTTGGGAGGGCGCAGAAGATGGGAAGTACCGTTGTAGTGTCTTCATTAGAACAACTTAAACAACTGCTTGCACCAGCTGCATAATTATACATGTGAATAATGTGCTATTAAGCTGTGACTTCTCACCTTTATTTTATGTAGTGTGAACAGCCATGGGTTTAGTTGTTACTCTTTTCCTCTCCAGTTGTAAAATGTAAACAGTGTGGCTGCCCACACCCATAGAATCACACAGGGCTGCTACACCAGGCTAACATTGCTGCTAGTAAAGCTTTTACAGAAGGAGCTCCACATGCCTGCAGTTTTAGATGACTAGGAGCACAGTGCCTATGAGCACATGGGTGACAAGCTGCTTTACTGTTGATTTTGGTACTTCATTATTTTTATTTTAAAAAAAAGTAATGGCTAATTTTTAATGTAAAAGTAACAAGTGTGGTGAATATGCAGTTTTGAGCTATCACCCAGAGAAAGATGTGGGCAGCAGGCATGAGAAAAAGCCTCCCAAAGTGCAGTGTGTCATACGAAGGTGACCTATTAGTTAGGTTAGGAGACTGGCAGATGGTATGCCAAGGAAGCAATGTTACTTAAAAAGGACAACAAAAAGCAGATACTGACCCAGCTTTGGGGAGTGCATAGAACACAGACATTAATTACACTCTTAGTCTTGCCACAGCACAAGCAAAAGTTTTCAGGTAGTAACCAGCTGTCACGAAGATCAAGCTACTGTCCACAACTTCTCCCCAACTGATGGAAATGAGTTCATACAAGAGAGAAAGAAAAAGAAAAGCTATTTACAAACAGTAGTAGAGCTAAAATGGAAAGACCACATACCCCAATGATTGCGTTCAGTTCTGCCATGGTCACTTGCTTGGCACGCTCCACAGCCTGCACCACTTGTTGCTGGTGCTATAAATGAAGATCAGAAACAGAATAAAATTATTTATTTTCTAAATTACTACGCACAGATTCTTCATTTTATCTTTTTTCCTTGCTTTTCAAACACATGCAGGCCTTGAAATAACTGTTGTCTAACAGAGAGTCACATTCTATGTTGATCTGCAAGAGTATCAGGCAAGGAGTGGATTTCATTGCTTGCCAGCAACTGCACCTTTGCTCCACATAGAGCTATTTTACAACCCGTCTAGATGGGGAACTGTTCTTCATCTGTTCATTAGTACAGCGTACTCTTGAATTTACATGCCAACTTAAAAAATTTACATGCCACGAAAACTTTTAGATTTAAAAAAAAACAAACAACCAAAAAATAACCAACCCAAAACAAAAAAAACCCCAGCACATTGAAAAAGAAAGGCATGTTATTTTCAACAAGCATATGGCACCCACATCACTGAAGGATATACAAGCTATCCTTCTAGGTACATTTCAAAGCAGCTCAACTGTAAGAAAGAAATTTAAAATGCCATTCACAATTCTGTCAAACACGTGAAAGAGAACTAATTATTTCAATCCCCAACATGTACATTTTAATAGCTTTAAAAAGTCCATCAAAAACACATGGTCTAATTAACAACACAGTATACAAGCTTCAGTGGTTATATTATCTCAGTTTGAGTGATACTGTATTCCTGCAGTAAATTCAAAATTGCTGTATGCTGAAAACTGATTGATATTTATTTGAAAACATCAACTATGAATAAATAAAGGTCCTGATCTTGCAACCACATTCGTGTCTGTTTGGAGCTCCACCATTGGCACATTAATCTGCACAGGCAGCCTTGCAGGACCAGCATTACTTGCGACAAACTAGTGCAAGGGGGTGTCAAGGAGCACTACAAGTAGATTGTGTGATCTGCACTGGGAGTGAGTCATCGTTAATTTACAGCCACAGGTTCAGCACAGACAGGGGGGCAGAAAGCTGCATAAAATATGGCCAGGGACCTAAATCCTCATGAGTTCCTCCAACACAAGAGTAGGTGAAGAGCATCAGGAAGACTCCCTCATGAGCACTGCTGGGAGAGGGGACCATAAGGAAGGGCTCCACTACCTCAAGGGCTTGGCAGCCTCAGATTTGCCAGTTCTCAGTGCAATGCACAAACAAAAATGGCATATTCACTTACAAACTCTCTCCCATAAAAGCCCTCAGGGTGAGGAAAAGCAAGCCTAAAAATCCACCCGTAACTGTAAGAAATGCTGACTTCAACTATGAAAAATGGATAAATGCAAATAATGGAGGATGTGACTTAGAAACACTCCTGGAAGAAAGAAAATGGTTTTAAGGTTTGCTTGGTTTTAAGCGAAGAAGAATTAAACGAAGGAAATGGCAGGAGAGCAAATAACATACTGCTGCAAACAGAATCACAGGAGTCCCATTTAGAGTTTTGTTAAGCTACACTGCTAATGTAAACAAAGTCTGTCACTTACAAGCAATGTAAAGAACAAAAAGCAGGCCGAACATGAACAAATATGTTCTTGGCATTCAGAAGGAAAAAAAATGCAGTGGTGTATCACCATCATAGATAACCAGTGAAAAGGAAATTACGATACTCATGTCACCAGTTCCTGATGATGTATTATCATCTCCAGGTCTTCACATGTTAAGGATAGGTACAGCTTTCATCGATTATGCAGCTGAAAGCCTGGTGACATGTGGCTCTATATCACAGTATGATCATAAAACTTACACCACCATTTTCTGATGGAGGTCAGGCACACCAAAAATGGGTCAAAGAATTTTTCATCAAGGCATCAAAAAAAAAATCCCCAAAAATGGGTTATAAAAATCTTTAAAATTATTTCTTAAAAGAAAATAATTTACTGAAAAGTTTACAGTCATCTTTGCTTTCCTACCATTTCCTAGGCACTACTTTTTGCACTGAGGTAAAGAAAGGGATCTAACTCTTGGTTTGTATATATGTGTTCAGTTCCAACATTCATTTACTTAAATTCTATTCCCAGGGCCATGGGCAGGAGAAGAAAAACTTCTGAAGGACCTACAGAAAGTCAGCCTGAAAACACCAATATTATTGTAGAAATCATTCCATTTTTAATCGAGGTTTTGGAAAAATAAGTCAACTCCACAAGAGTCTGGAAGTCTTGCTTTCCTTTACAGCAAATATACAAAGACTGGATCTGAGAAGTATTTGGGAAAAACATTATTTCATTCTCGGTTGAGGGGAAGAGAAGGTGGAGTGGCAGAGTACCAAATTCTTACTTCAAGAGTTCTGCTGGAAAGCAGTATAAGACAGAAATTCCCCAAGCAGTAACACAAGGCATCTTTCACTGATTGTAATAGGTTTGGGATCAAGCCCTCACAGAGAGGAGAAAACCCATGGGCCTTGTAACACTGAACCTAAATTAGGTACAGTAGAGACAATTAAAACTCTCCTATTGCTAGCTGCTTTAACACTGATTTAATCTTCAGTAGTACAGTATGCAAAAGACCCAAAATAGATGGTCTGTAATTAGCCTCTCCATCACTTCCACCTCGTTGCAGGAACTGAGCAGGCTCCCGCTCAGCTCTCCGAAGCCTTGTGGAGGGCATGCCTTGAGTGACCTCACAGCTACTTTGAGTCACAAGCACAAACCACACACTCCAGTGGATAAAGACACAAGGAGGTAGAGTGACCCTGTGGCACGGAGGAGTTTGAAGAGCCCACCAGCTGCCCCCAGCACTTCTGAATCCAGGGCAGGCCAGGGGGGACTCCATGCTGCCGACCATGGCTCTGGTAAGGGGTGGAGATCTCTACAGGCAGAGAAGGATCCCAACAAGGACTGGGCTCTGGGCACTCACTGCAACCAAAAACCAAGGTGAGAGGGGCTGAGAGCCCAGGGTCCCTCTGAATGGGATGACAGCTGCTGGCCCAGCCTGCATGGGTGCACAAGGATGGACAGCTCCAATGCTCAACACATTCTCAAACGCCTTTCCCAGCCGGCACACTGGTAACAAGCAGTGTTATGTTAAAACCAGGCAGTACACATTAACCTGCCCATCAAGTGATCACATAGCAATTTACAGCCAAGTAAAAACAGCAACAACAAAAAAGAGCTACTTTTTACCCAACCAAGTATAGACTCAGGGTTGCAGCATTCACACACCTTTGATGCTAGCCTTCCTCTCCGCATAAGCAAATGACAGAGCCATTTTCTTCAGTTACAGGAAAACAGTGTTTTGCCTTGCATTTAACAGGCCAGAGCAATGAACTCAATACCCTGCCCCGCCTGTTACACAGATTAGTATCATTTCTCCTTTTTAACTTCTTCCCTGTCTCTTCTCTTCACCTCTTTTTGCCTTTCGTAATGACTGGTGTGTCTGCACTTGTCTTGTGTTGAAAAATCATCTCCTTTCAGTCTCATGGTGGGTAGCAAAAACAGAGACCAGAAGAAGGATGTAGGCTTTCTCACTATCACAATGTCTCACCACACTGCTTTGTCACCTAGCCCTGGCTCCTGCACAGGCATGGCAGCACAGTGGAAAATACCTGGGCTTTTTATACCATGTCAGAGCTCCCAGTGACTCCCAATGACAGGGGAGCCATGCTGACAGCAACTGAGCAGCCAAAATTCCCTCTGGCACGCAAGTACAGACACTGGTGTTAAAAACGCCTAATTCCAGCCTGTCTCCAACACTGCCAACAACATCCAAAGTAAAACTCACTGAACAATTCACTTTGCAGATGCAAGCAGGCTCTGCTATGTTTTATTCATGTTATTTTGTTGTCATATTATCTGTTTAGAGGGAGTACAGACCAGGTCTTTCTTAAGAACTGTAGCAGTGCCATTCTGAAAAGCCTGATCTAGAAACGGCATAATGAGATGAGGCTGCACCAAAAACACCGGTGAGAATCAGAAAGAAAACACACATTTACTCTGAAGTGCAGCACACACTTAGAAAATCCGAAGAGACAAGCAGGGTCACTGCATCCAGGCACCATAACTCAGACAAGACGTAACAGCCACTTCACAAAAAACATAAGAACATTATTAGCAATGTATGCATAAATCACTAATAAGATGCCTTCCTTGGTAAAAGGATTACACGTATCTGACAGCTTCCCTATACTGTTTCAGCTCTAGTCTGAAGCAAGTCTAAAATGAAGGAATGTAATTTTGTCTTTCAACCTCTCACATCTCAGACCAACAACTACTTCCTTTTGAACAGTATGTAATGACTCCTGCTCTGCTTCTGCATAATACATCTCACACTTTTCATCCAAATTTACTGAACTTTAGAAGCATCTCTAGGGAATGTCTGCACAGAGAAGAACAAGTACATTATGACCCATATCTATCTTTTGAAAGGAAAACCATCAACTAATATTGAAATCTTTGAAAGGAAAAGACTGCATGCAGAATTTCCTTTGTGTATGTTTGTTTGCATGTATGCATGCCCGTGCTTGGCACTTCTTTGTACTTCTAAGTGTATTTGACCACCTTATCATGCACGGGGAACTGAAGATCCCTACTAAAGAGCAATCCTTCTAGCTTGTCATTAGTTAGCTCACTGGTAGTTGGAAGGCAAAGTGCACCTTCCAAAAAAGTTTATTACAGCCTCCTCCAGCCTAAGTAATGCTTGCAGTGTGGCATATATACCTATAAGCAAACAATACTGTCAACAACTGTCTGGCTTCCCAAGCAGTTTTTGTAGGTTGTGCTGAGCTCCAAGTTGCCACAACTACATCATTAGCTGTAAATCAACAAGCTTGTGTGTGCCTCATGACTATAAACACAGTCAATATTTACTGAAAAAAAGAAGGTAACCATGATATACATCTATCTCCAGTCACACTGAACAAATACCACTATCCAGCACCTGAGGTCTTTCAGCACTTGATAGACCACAGAGTCCCACAGCAACAGCCACAGGTTGAAGCCAGCCACAGACACCACCTTGATCAGACAGGAACCAGCCCCAGCTTGAAAGCCGCAGTGTTATGCAAGTGTCACACACGTTGTGCTACAGCTGGTAAATTCAGTTGAGAAGTGTAAATTAGGAGAGGCATGATCTACGGCTTTAGACCCAAAATGAATTGCATCTTAGTGGCTAGATCATTTGATGATGTGAACATCAAACTATCTAAACCAGCTGCTGTATATCAAAACTAAGTTAACTGAGTGCTAACAACCTCCAAGTATTTACTTACAATACAGGGACCCTCAATCATCTTATGCAATAAGAACTACTTTGAGCACACTGATATCTCAACATCACAGAGAGGTGGAAAATTACTGTTGCAACACAGGAAGCCTGCAATCACAGCAAAAATTTAACACACATCACCTCTGAGGTCCATCTCATGCCTTGACCACAAAGTCACTCTTTTCTATTAAAACGAGAAGCCTGTATTTCTTGATGCTGTTTTTTACAGTCTCCTTAAGTTTGAGTCAGTGTAAAAACAAGGTACTACTTGAATGCATATGTAGGCAGCTTAGGAACTTTATTTTCAATATATGCTTAGATGATATATAGCACAGTAAAACTAACTGAAGCCTGGAGAAATCCTGAATACTTTACTGGATTGCCCCCTGAAACAAAGCAGGCACTAGTACACAGTAGGGTGACATATTAGAATTGCATCCTTTTCACGAGATCGCTAGTGATTTTGGCCAGGATTTCTTACTTCTAAGTGAGTTATCACAAGCCATTGATTCCTTACAAACTTAACAAGCAATAAGACAAGTTAACTTGGTGCTATTATGAGGCAATAAAGTTGCCATCAGTGCATGTAACCACTGCATTTTGTTCATTTTTCCCTCAGGCACAATACAAAGGAGCCTGATCACATTTTTCAGTCACTATTCCACAATTAGACTGTATGTGAAATGCATAAACAGCAAAAGTAAGCTGCAATTCCATTCTCTATTAATCTAGATGATGAAATGGAGAGACTTCCATTAAGACATTCACTTTCTAAAGACACAAATTAGACAGAAACCAAGACCAGCAGAATACTCAAATCTGGAGACCAGCTCTTTTGCCTCATCAGCATACACCAATGTAAACTGATTTAACTAAGTGTTTCTCCTAACAGAGGTCAAACAATTACTAAGATTTTCCTAGGCCTAATATGAAAACTGTCATGACCAGTGGCACTGTCAAGACACGTAGAAAGGTTTTTTTGTGCATGCCCTTTCAGTATCTCTCTGCTGTCTCATCCCCCTCTCCTCTTGCTACGTGAACTAAAAGGCACACTTTCCTCCACACAAGATGAAAATGTACATCAGCTTTGTGGAAGTGCTCCATTTTGTCTTTGTCAATGCACCCAAAACCACTGAAATCGTAAACTTTTTTTGACTTCTTCATCTCCTCTGTAGCCCAAAGAGCTTTGATATTGTGGAATATGCACAGAGGAGGAGCTGTAAGACTTGGTAAACACAATGTGCAAACAGGTGAAGGAAAGTGTATGGGCCACAGATTTAAAAAGCAGAGTCTCACTCTGCATAGCACAGAAGCCATATGAGAGTGTTTTCAGATCTAAAACTGCATAACTCAAAGCTCTGATCTAAAGCCTAACAAAGTAAACACCAGTCATTAAGCACACTGATGCTGTGTGCCTAAGCCCTCACTGGGTGGGTACTGTACCCATGACAGAAGCGGGACAATGTCATTTGCTAACTTTACAATTTGGATCATCTTAGTTGTCTACCTACACAGTTCTTCCAACTATTGTATTAATGACAAACTACTGCAACAGCTAAGTCCAGAATTAATTGTTCTCTATGATTAGCTTGATGGCCAAGACGTTGTTAAACAGTAATCAGGGCCCTTGGCTCATAGTTCACAAGTTACTGCATGCCATCACCACATGGGAGATTCTACCCTATGAAAGAAAAGAAGGAAGTACAACGTGCAGCCTTCACAGTGCTTCCTCCCTTTAAAGCAGAGACTTAAAACGTACCAATACCAGCTTTCAGGAGAATGACTTCAGGGCGATTTAGGTTCAGGACAGAAGAGCATGATGAATATGGAGCAAAGAAAAAAGAGACAGCTTGTGTTCACCTGAGTGGGACATTACTAACATCAAAGCTCTTTTTTTTTTCTTTATTTCTTTTCCTCAATTCCACATGAGTATATAGAGGGGGTGGAGGCTAGGATTTCCAAAGTCTAAGACTAAAATCTGTCAGTCACTGTGAACCAAACACACCTTTCTTCAAATGCCTTCTAAATCCATGTAATCCCTTTGCTTGTTTAATTGGTAAGAAACACCTACTCCAAGAAAGTACAAGGGCTGGGTTTGTGAAGCAGAGCAAGCACAGTGGTGTGACTGACTTGCATGCAGTAACAAAGTTTTGTTCAGCATTTCAGCTGAAAATAGTACCAGTATGAGCAGCAGTATACTGGTACAAGGTTTCTAAGCGTGTCTTCCCATGTCTTTGCCAAGATTGCAGCTTTGCCTGCCAAAAAGCTGCCAAGTACTCACCCTTGCCTTTGTTTCAAAATCATGTCATTTTAGTGCTCACTTTAGCATGAGTATGAATCAGCTTTACACCTCGTTTTTATATGCATAGCATATAAAACTCGCTAACTAGGTGTACAGAGATTTAGTAGCAGCCAAAGTACAAAATCAGCAGCTACTTGCTTTAGATTCAGGCAGGACTTGAATTCTGGTCACCGAGCAATGTAACTAGATTATTACACATCATTTAATTTCCACAAATCCATCTTTAGAAGCAGAGTACAGCAGCGCTCACGGACACTGTCAGGTTCTAGTTTTGATAGTGCTACTCTTGTTTCAAACACGCAGAGATACACACACACGTGCACACACGGAGTGCATTAGCTGAACACTGATGTCAAGCACACAGCCTCTTGTTTGCAGCAGGACGAGCATCTTGAAAAGCGATGGCACTTTATGGAACAACTGAAAAGGTGGGAGAAAGAGTCGCAGCATGTTCTCAGGCATGAGGCTTTACAGATGTATTGCACAGAAATATACCTTCCAGTTTCAACTTCTCAGCTACCAATTTTACTGAAATTAAACTGTGTTAAATAGATGCATGTCAGCCTGCGACAGCAGACCCCAGTCTCCAGCCCCTTTTCCTCCAGCAGGGTGGGGAGGGGAAGACATTATGCACTCAAGGTCTCCTTTCATGAACCACGCTTCCATTTTACTTCACACATGCCTGTGGCTTCAAGGCTCCCTAGCTAGCTCCCATCAACTTCCCCAAATCCCAGTGCCCCTCAAAGTATCTGCAATGCACTCAAGATAATAGCAGCAAATCATAATTCGGAGAAAATTAGTGCTTAGAGAAATTAGCTCACAGCAAGTTTCAATCTGCTGTCTGTATTCCCCAAATACACAGAAAACATAAAAGGATTTAAGGTAATAAGTAATCTAGGATGCAGAGAGAAAAAAGCCAGAAAAAAGCTGCTGTGCCTACTGTGTTGAACATCACTACTCGGTATACCAAAATGTGAGTTTCTGCTGAACTTTAATGCCTGCTGCGAAGAATGTAGCACAAATCATGCCTTTCTAGCATTTTTGAGCACCATCCTCTGATTTCAGACCGACAAAGTCGTAACAGTGAGAAAAACTGCATTCTACATGAGAAAAAATATTTAAAGAACTAGTATTTTCCTTAGCACATTACATTTAATTTCATTAGTATATTTAAATGATATTATAATAGAATTGGAGAAGTTAATGAAGACACAGTAATAACAGCATAGTGGAAAGTCATCTACAAGCACCAACAGATTCATAAAGAAATGGTCTCAACACGGGTCCCACTTTTGTAATAGATACAATGAGGCAATGGTTTAGATCAGCACCAGTACAAATGACTACCTACCTCTTGGGACAGGAAGGGAATGACTTGTGCACATATAGCATTCAGCCTCTTGACAATTTCTGCCTGCAAGTGACAAGAAGAAAGAAGTTCAATTATATAAATTCTCAGATGTGATGGTCAACCATGAACACAGAAGATACATTTGTTTGTTTGTCTGTTTTTATCTAGTCATCCTCTGGCCAGGACAGATTATCAAAATAATAAAAGTATTTGGACACAAATTCAACAAACGCTAGGAAGCTAATAATTTCTGACTAAAATGTTTTCCTTAAAAAACACAGTTCAGAACTGACACAAAGAAAAGTTAATTCTGATTACGCAATCAAAGGCAAAATATTGTGTATGGAACTAAACTCTCTCCTAAGAGGCAAAAAGAAGGATCATTTCAAATTACAGCAATGCCACTGTAAGCAAAGTGAACAAATAAACCAATTATTTCTATACTAACATTGCATATCACAAGAAAATTAGCAATACAGTATACAACTTCACTGATAATCATTCTACCACTTATTTTAGAAGGGTATACGGCAGTCTTGTATCATATTTATGCTGTTATCAAACCTGAGGTTAATAGTTGTTACTTTCATGTTGCAGCTGTGATCAGAAATGAATAATATACGATGTTTTATTTCCATACTGGAAATCAATTCTTATTCTGTGTGTTTAGCCTGCAAATCTCAATAGAGATGGAGGAGATCTGGAGAGATTACACAAGAATTACAGCTGCAGAAACCGACTATTTAAAGCCACATAAGACTTTCTTATAAATCATTACTTTCTTACAATAAACTGCAACCAGGGTCAGTTCCTCATTATACAGTAGGAAAGAATGCTCTTCCTCTTGCAAAGTCACTAACCATATGACGAAGATATACAAACTTGTGCAATTCAGGGTTCCTTCCTTTAAAAACAACCCTTCCAGCCTTTTTGCTATGCTGTCTTTTAAACTGTGAACACTTAGGAAAGAACCTATAGAACAAAAAGGCTGAGAACTAGCCATAAAAAAGTTAGAGCCACACATTAAATAAATCTAGATTATTACAGCAATGTAACCAGCAGACATAGCATGGGAGAGGCACAGGTCCGTGAGAAACTGACTCTGCCCCCTTGTGCGCATGGGGGATGCTTCCGTTAATGTATGCTGCTTTGCAGTACATTGTTTTCGTTTCTCTAAAATCCACCAAAAACTCCTGTAGGTTACATCTGTACAGTAACTTCTATGTTATACTGTCCCAGTATCTTCTCCCTGGTCTTCACTGTTTAATTAAGTCCTCATCTCGCTGAAGTTATGCATTTTAATACGTTCTTTACACTCATCTACTACACCTTTTCTGTTTATTTAGCAGCATAGGAACCCTAAAGGACACTTCAGAATACATTCTGTTCACCACAAAGCTAAATCACCTGCTAATTTCAAAGGTTTATATGTATCCTTAATATCAGATAATATCATTTCCACAATGCAAAACTTAACCCCTTTAAACAGTGTTCACTATACTAGTTGATGGAGAGATATACAAACTGCTTGTTACACAGAACAGTAAAAGTAACGACAACATGTGTGCATCTAAGCTTCAACCAGAGAGGCTGCATGATCCAATATGGCATTACTTCAGAAACAGTATTTGATAAAGGAATTGTACACTGTAATACAATGCACAGCTCCAAAGTACCTGTGCTGTTGTGGTTCAAGCACCATTAATGTAATGATTTCCAAATTTTGAATCCCAGACACACTGTTTGGCTTTTTTGGGATTTTTTTCTGGTTATGTGTTTGTTTGGGTTTTTTTTAAGGCAACTCCAGAATGCTTTAAAATCAAAAACTACATATCCTGCTCTTCAAGGCTTTTCCACGAGTCACAACCAGAGTAACTTGAGCCCCTCTGACCTGCCATTTAACACCTATTTGTGCCTTAGTAAAAAAAGGCACACGATGCTTTCCTCTGCTGCAAAACAACTCCTCCTACCCATCTTTAAAATGCCTTTTGCAACTTTATGCACCTGCTGCACAGCTCCTGGGGGAAGCCTTTGCCTTGACTGTGTTCAGCAGAAGACCACTCTCCCACCACAGCTACATTAGCTGGATGCCTCTACTGCACTGCTTAGGAATTGAAGATAAAACTGGCTCAAAGTGCCATCCAGGAGCTCAGTGTGTAATTTTAAAAGGCTGGTAGATTCATACATTTTATGGCCAGAAGGGATTGTTACAATTGTCTTATATGACCTCCTGAGTAACAATGGCTGTAAATCTTCACCAGCTTCCCCATCAAACCTATGAATTCCAGTTCAGCTAGAATATAGCTCAGTTAACAAAACTAATTTTATTCAACTCACTTTGAAGCGTTTCTCCTCAATTAATGTACTCAACCCCAGCTATTTCAAGTTATTTCAGCTATGATGTTTTTCTTTTGATCACTTCCCTTCCACACTCCAACAGAAGAAGTAATGTCTCTCTTCTACTGCTCTTCTGGACAAAAAGCAGTTGAAACGTTACTTCCTCAGTATTTATTAAAAAATTCACCTCTCGCAGATTCTGAGCCTGGGAAATATTAAGCTAAAAAGCCTCTTCAAAAAAGCTGTAAGTAACTAAAACCAGGTGACTGAATATGAGCGGTTACACAACCGTAATAAACCTCTTGATACCAATCCCACTGGAGCACAGAACAGCAAGTCTTTTCATATGCAGGAAAGTGAGCTGATGGAGACAGCACCCAGCTCAGCCTACGGAGAAGAAAAAGAGCTCACTAACAGCTTCACGAGATGCCAAGATGCTCCCTACCACCATTTCTCAGCTAGGCAAGAGGCTCACTAGGCCAGTCACGACAAAGCTGAGAAGCCCTTGTTACACCAAAGCAGGTGTTTGCACCATTTCCTTATTAAAAGAGTCTTCATTTCCCCTAACAATGAGCGTTCTCAAGTGTGTTGTTGTGCATGTAGTTATGTTTTATCACCCCCAACACTTGAACAACAAGGAAACAGCCCAACTGAGCAGCAGTGGACCACAGAGGCATGACATGACCAAGATATGGACTGCCTATCCTTAGAGAGCACAGGCAGCAGAGGGGTATGAAGGACAACACCATGTCCTTGCACAAATGATAGGAAGGACATTACATGTTCTGTACCAAAAAAATCTTAAACCAGGTATTTTCACATAGTAAATATGAAGTACTTTCTGCCTTGACACAGCAACTGTTTCTGCAATTGAGTGTACGGGATAGTATCACTGCAACAAGCCTGATAGTTCACTACAAAACACCAAAGAGAAGGCACTAGCCACTAGAAGCTAGTGAGCATGGGTTTCTTGCAATGATGCCCTTCAACTTGAAGATGTAGGTTAGAATCTTGGTAAACCTATTCCTACTGCCAATGGAGGGGGCCTGGAAACTCGTTCCTTGCGTATAAGGTACAAAGTCAGACATGAAACATGAGTCCACATTTCTATATTCATACAGATTTATTAAACCCTATATTTAAAACCAGTTTAGGATCATCTCTTTTCTTTTAGACGTTAGGCCAGTGCATTTTTCATGATCAACCTAATTGGCAGGAGAAGGAAAAAGTATGATTTCATAAAAACAGGCAGCCAATTCCTCACATGAAAAGCCAAAGTTGCCTCGGAAACACGGCTGCTTCCACGGTCATCTAATTTTGCCTCTTTTGTCCCATGGGACCAGGCTTTAGAGAGGCATAATTTATTTACAGGCCTTTCCACTGGGCTTCAGTTATCAGCCAATAATACTGTGGACACACACACTTCTAATGGCCTATGTTTTGAAACCAAGTCTAATCTGATGGCGCAGCGCCCAAACTCCTTTTCCAGCATAGCCATTAAAGGATGTAGGTTATTGCTGTTGTCACCATTGATATTTGTCATTGTAATGTAATTAGGGCCCTAAAATGATGCATTACAGCCCTTGGCACAGCTTCTATTAAAATCTTTTCTTCTGCTCACTGAACTGCGACCTGCTTTCTGATGAATAACAGACAGACAGCTTTAGGGTGAGGAGCAGACTCATCAAAGAAGTATTTTTCAGCTCTGGAAATAAAATAAATAAATAACAGAAGACAACCTAAGAAGAAAAGCACAAGGAAGAAAGGGTGGGCCAGGGGGGTGGGTGAAAAGAACACAGTGCATTTGAATTTCATTTGACCACTTGAAATTTTGATTGCATCTGATGAATCTTTCTTCGGACAATATACTTCCAGCCTGTGAATCACATGGATAATCAGGGCTCTAATCTGTTATCCATCAGTCTATGCCAGCACTGTAACTTCCAATCAAATGTATAGGTTATGTGGGTCATGCATCCCTGAACAACTACATTCATGGATATCCCATTTAAACCAGCACTGACTCTGAAATGCTGTTGTTAGGGTTACTGAATGTTATAACACTATTCAAAGCTTTATGAAAGCTCCTGATAAACAGCTGCTAAATTATTGCCTGTGGATACAGCATGATGCTCTGAAAGAGCATTAATGGCTCAATAAAAGGGCGATTGTTCATGCCAAAATATAAAAAGGATAGCTTTTGCTGCCATAGTTTGTCAAGTATGTTAACAAACACTGACACTTCTATTACTCCTTTTCCTAAACACAAAAGATGTTTGGTTTTGCATAAAAACACACCAACATGGAACCACAAAAGATGAGTGAGAGGCAGGCAGGGAAGGCTTAGGCTGGAATAATCTTTTTACTTATCTAACACAAGCTTGTATTGTTTTCATCCTTTGGGAGACACCTACAAAAGACACTACTTCGACACTTTTCATAGCCACTTACATGGCATCTTTTTTTAAAAAAAGAGAAAGATTAAATATTTATTAACTGCAATGTTAATGTTTTTTGTTTTGCTATGCATATAAAGAGACTAATAAAATAACTGTGCCAGAGTCCAATCCAAGTAAAGGAATGAAGACCCCTCTCAGTTAAGTCTCTCAGCATTAGTGCAGGAATACAAAATAAACGCAACAGCTTAGGTCCCCAATTCAGCCAACAAAATCTTTTTTAACACAGCCGATGGTTAAATGGTACTTAATTGCCTAAATATGCCAAAA